TTATATCCTCAATAGACACACCAATAAGTAAGCTTACTATTAGTGAAAAATGACTCTTACATCATTTCCAAATGACAATTTTAAAGAGAAAACAAATCCTAAAAAAATAACTCATTTTTGGTTCTGGAATTTTTTTAAAATCTTAACACGCTCTTGAATAATTGCTTAATTGCTCATGTCTTCAATAAAATGTGAGAAAATGCCCCACAATTATACCTACCTCATTGGAAATAGTAGTTTTCCTAATCGCGAAAGCAGTTAGACGAACGACGCGAAGCGGAGTTCGGATAAGCTTTAAGTGCGGGAAAACTACTTTGCGCACGTACTAGGAACAATATTTTTTCTACGAGTGAATTAACTATACTTTCTTTTTAAATTTTTAATTTCTATAGGCATCAAAAACAATTTGTTGTAACTAAATGGGTATAGCTAAATCGGCAAAAAAAAAATTCGGCCTCTCTCCGCGGGGCTTTGCCCCCTAAAAAAGGGGGCCCGCAGGGCTAAATATTGGGACCTCGCCCTCGCAGCCAAATATAGGGCTCCGCCCCCCCAAATATAGGGCAAAAATAAGTGGCTTCCGCGGGACTCCGCCCCCCAAATATGGGGCTCTCGCAGGGCTTTGCCCCCCAAATAGGGGGTCCCCAGATTTTATTATGAGTACCAGAAAAAAAAGTGTGCGGGAAAAAAAAAATTCCCGCATAGTGTGCGCAAAGTAGTTACTTTGCGCACACTTTTAGGAAAGGGCTTCTTTGCGTACACAAAAGTGTGCGCAAAGTAGTTACTTTGCGCACACTCGTAGAAAAAAGGATTTAATTCTCTATAAGCTGTGCAAAATTGGTTTGTGTAACTTGAAAAGTTTCCCAGAAATTGAGCTTCAGAGTTGAAATTTGGTCGTCATTTTGTCCAAAACTTTAAGCTCAATTTTCTCAAAAACCGTAATCGCTAGCGATGTCAGCTGAATACCATTTTGGAGCCCTTATTAAGATCTACAAAAATTATTCCTATTCCTAAAACAGGAGGTATTTTAACCCTTATCCCATTATTAGCTGGGCTATCTGCTCTAGGAGCGCTAGGTGGGGCTGCTGCTGGAAAAGCAAAATCAGTAAATGACGCTAAAGCTGCCAATGGACATTTTTTGAAATCGTGAGCTGCTCATGAACATCATTGGAAAGAGTATTAAATTGTCTATATGCCATGTTAAATTGGTTTTTATTGAACTTTTTCGAGATATTGAGCTTCAAAGTTAAATTTTAGTTGCCATATAGAAAAGGTTTTTTTTGTGTTACCTACCCTTTTTGTTTGTCTACTACTATATCACTTTTTGTATCTAAGAGGTTGTGTTATTAGACTAAAAAATAAACGTTTGGTTTCATCAATATTTTTGACTTATTTACTGTCACGGCTCTGGCTTGCGTGACAGAAATCTTGGGTCCTTTTGTTCCAAATTCAAAGTCCAATTAACACAACAATAATTTATTCCACGTTACAACTTAACTCTTTACAACTCTTAACAATATTCACTATTCAAATCGTATAACAGCCAAACTTAAACTTAAAAACTACAAACTAATACCGGCCTTCATATATCCCTAATCTAATCTTGCAAATTCCGGAATAACCGCGATCGACTTTGTTCCCGAACATCAACGTAAAATATCGAATCAGCTGTTCAATATAGGTAATACAAAAAAATATATATGTATTGTCAACTCATAAACGGACACAAGCCCATGCATTACATAAATTAAGTAAATTTCCAAAGGAGGTCACCCCGGACTATTAAAAACAGACCGATTTTGCTTATGCCAGCAATAATTTCAATATAAATTCACGCACTGCGGCAATGCAAAGCAACGTTGGTCTGGACTGCTTTATGCCTGATAAGGTACGAGCCTAAAGACCTGCCTTCTTAGCTGGGTATGACTAGGTATAGTCGAGACTGTGAAACTTTGTGGATGAAGGTCTCGTCTATAGCGGCCGTGTCACAGCGTCCCCAAGTTTAGACCTACGAGAACTATGCCCTTAGGGGGCCCGTTCTTTTAGTGCATCTTGGGTTTCATTAAACATTAAACATTCTTACATTTCGAGTTGACAATCGAAAACATGGTCCACCAGGGACGAACATCTACGGTGTTAGGATTTTGATAAACCCTTAGTGGACGCAGCCAAGCGAAGTAAAAGTGGTGGCACCGCTGACCACAACACAACCAACTTAAGCGTTACAATATTTTTAAAATTTTTAGCACCAATGCCTCCGGAATCGTAACGTTTCTGTCTGTACCTCGGAAACGAAAAATAAATTCCATATAATATAAATTATTTCACTACATCAAATTGTATATATGAACTTTATTTAAATTTAAAAGTTCGAGATTAATGGTAATTTTGGAAAAGATAATGTATTTCCACTAAATTAGTCTCGGCTGGTCAAATTGCTGCCATTTTGTTTACCTGTCCTGTCACAAATGTTTACTGTAATAACTTAACTTTCGAATAAAACAATTCCGAACGTGTTCAAAGGCTTTATTTAATCCCGGAAGAAATCGGTTTAAAAGTACAAGAGTTTTCGTCACTTAGATTGGTCTTTTACCATAGCGTTGCCGGAGCAAAAGAGAGCGCTTTCGTTGCTTTTTCTGCCGTAGTTTACAATCTTTCGAATCCGCGAATGTGCGCTAACAAACCTAATTATGACCTTTATATTCCGTGTGAATAGAGACGTTACAAGTATGCAACATTTACCTTTGGCGAATTTGCCTGCACCACTGGACTTGGACCCCCCCCCTCTTCCCCCAGGGCGGAAAGATATCGATGCCACTAGCGCAAACCGTAGGTACCTAGCACACCTGGTATTTAAAAGTTATAAGCATTTAAAATGGGTCACTTTTCGGCTGGAACATCCTGTAGGTACTGTACGGCAATTTAAACTGTATTAAGTGAAGAATGTGAATTTGTTAATACATCTAAATTGAGGGGGTGTGATTAGTTGAATATAAAAATGTGTAGGATATGGAAATTCACTTAGTTTTACCACACATATTCCGCGTGTGGCTAAATTCAGCTAGTGTAGTTTAGTTTGAAGCTTCAAATCTAAACTAATAAACTAAATTATAATGCAAACTTGTACATAGTTCATTTTTCCACAAAGAAGAAATTTCAATCCATAAATCCTGATAGTTTCAAGTGACTGTGATCATTAGAAGTACTTTGCACAAGTGATTTTTGCAAATTTTAATTTTTTTTGCATGCATTAAGAGGGGCGTTAGATAAGAGCCAGCGTGCCATCTTTTGGGCTTTGACATACATTAAATATTTTGTAATCACAGGTGTTCAAATTCTCTGTAAGTGATTGACTTATTTACAAGTAGATGGCGACATCTTCAATATCAATTCGTTTACACAGTAATTTACAGTGGACTAAATAATTTTTTTCAAATACAAATGAAATAATAGTATTTCACATTTTTAGCTAGGCAAAACAGTTTTTACTGGCGGTTAAAAGAAGTGACTACCCTTCCCGAACTCAGCGACATCTTTTAGAGAAGCACTGAACACACGTTTGGTTTGAGACTTTGCTGAAAATGACAGCAATCACCTCGTTGTTTGGCAGATTTTGATTAATTTTGTGATACAAACATTATAATTTTCGAAAATTCTGTTCTATTAATTTTTTCCAGCATTTTACTATCCGAAATTTTGAAAATTTATTGTTGGTGTGCTTTTAGAATGCGTATTTTGCAACCAAAAATGCTTCGAACGATACTCCAATCTATTATTGTTATGAACATAACTTCATTTCACTGAGAAGTGGTCTAAATTTGGAATTGAACAGGAATTTGTGAAGATCTGTAAATGACATTTTATTTAAACGCCCCTCTTAACGTGAGAAAAAGCTTCTAAATTCTAGCTTCAAATCAACTTCAAATTAACTTTTATACAAAGAAAAAACTTCAATTTATAAATCCTGAGACTTTCAAGTCATTGTGATTATTAGAAGTAAGTACTCGTCCACAAGTGATTTTTGCAGATTTTATTCACTTTTTTGCATGTAATAACGTAAGAAAAAGCTTCCAAATTTAGTTTGAAACTTCAAATCAACTTCAAATTAACTTTTTCACAAAGAAGAAACTTTAATTCATAAATCCTGAAAGTTTCAAGTTACTGTGATTATTGTAAGTATTTTGCACAAGTGATTCTAATCATTTTTGCATGCATTAACATAAGAAAAAGCTTCCAAATTTAGTTTGTAGCTTCAAATCAACTTTAAATTAACTTTTCCACAAAGAAGAAACTTCAATTCATAAATCCTAGAAGTTTCAAGTCACTGTGATTATTGGAAGTATTTTGCACAAGTGATTTTAATCACTTTTGCATGCAATATGCATATGAAGTTGTGCTAAATAAGTTAAAAGAAGCAAGGGAAAAAGCAAAAAAGACTATTTCCCAAGTAATCTGTTAGAAGTACAGGGTAACAGCGAAAAAATATGGTCAACGCTAAATCATCTTATCCATAATACACAGAATATAAGAAAATCAGTAACAATTCATGAGGTTCAATATCAAAATACATTGTACAGGGTGTCCCAAATTCAAGATCAAATGTTTTGATTTTTTATCAGCGAAGTATTTTGTTTAATAATTCCAGATAGACTTTGTTGCTAAAGGATGTGATTTGGTATGTGGTTATTGACTGTTCCTGCTAGTTAATGTAGGTAAGTGATAGATAATAGAGCTAGCGATTGAGCCCAAGATTTTGAGCTACGTAGGTACAAGTGAAAATAAAAAAAATTCAAGACTCTGGAATAAGAAGAAATAAAAATGTGAAAGCCTAAATTGAAGAAATAAGGAAAACTTAAGTGCCTTGAATAGAAACATTAAAAAAATTCAAGGTCTCGAGTTAGAAATTCCTACTTTATAATTTGTCCTAAAAATAATAAAACACCGACCAACCTTAACGAATATTATCAATTATCATTATCAACAACCATTTTATTACGCCATCTCTGACACACAATTTCCATTTTTATCAGGCGCTTTTATACGAGCTTATCTACCTATTTGAGTCATTCATTTTTTCAATTAACCAAACAATTCAGTTGAATAATGCCAGCGGCATCATGAACAATAATAAAGCGTTTACGTGCTACTTTTGCAATCGCCTCATCGAAAATGAAACAGAAATGGTAAGAATTTAAATCAAAAAAGGGGCCTATTGATCATTGAATCAAAAAAACCTTATAGGGACATACAACTTTATGCTCTAAGGTCCTGATTCCTTGCCCTTACAAATGCGGAGCTTACGTCGAAAGGGCCAACTTGGTAAGGCACAAAAACGAATGCACTAATAATAACTCCAATAATTGCAAATCTCTTGGTAAGTAATTTTTTTTTTTTTTTTTAATAGGTTTCTAAGGTGTTTAACATTTTAAATAGATCGTAGAATGCCACCAACTAGAAGCGATTTAGTCAACCTTTCAAGGCGTTTTCAGGAGCTTGAAGTTAAAAAAGAAGATTCCTTGGAAGATATTAAAAAAAGTTTAAAGGAGCATGCATTGTCGATACAAAAATTCAATAATTTTAATGGATATTTGGCCGAATGGAAAAAAAAGGTGGATGCACAGGTGAGTACAATTTTCCATTTTTTGAATGAATTATTTATTCAAATAATTTAGCTTAAAACCCTCGTGACATCTGAAACAAATGGCAATCAATTTATTTATATCCAAGAGAAACTCTTGCAACTCCAAAATCTACACTTGGAGTTGAGTAAGCTCAAAGAAAATACCTATAAAGACAGCAATTATTTTAAAAACACTCAAACGGATTTTGCCAGGAATTTAGAAGAAATACGAGGCACTTTTAACAAGCAAAATGCGGCTTTTGAGGGTATGTGGAGGGAGCAAACTGGGCTCACTCAAAAAGCTATTGAAGATGTTCGTACAATTAAAGAGAGCCTCGATGAGCAAAAGGCAAAATATGCTGGTAAGTATTTTTTGACTTACTTTTTACTGCAAGATGATTCACCATTTTCTTCTTTGCTGAATGACTCTGGACCAAAAATCCCATGTGAAGAAATCTGCAACACATAAAAATAATCGTTTATTTTGCAAATTTCAACTTTGAAGCTCGATATTGTCATACGCTTCGCGGCTAATGTGGGTAGGACCTGAGGCATGGGGGTTGCTCTTCAGGAAAAAACACAACTACAAAAGGCAATTATCGTATATTTGCTTCCTAGTGGGTTTATCACCAAAAGGGATACTACATAGGTATGCCACATGACTCTTGCGTTTGGAGCTATATGTATCTATATACGGAGGTGCAACTGGTTCCCGGACGTATATATAGCGGCGATGCTCGATTGGCAACACACAAATTTTTGCATTTGAACGTCTCAAAATTGTTCCGCTTGACATACAAATAGACACAACCCGAATTAACTGATCTGGACCAGGGTGCACTTCTGTGCCTCGCCCCATGGTCCACTTTAATGGAGACAAATTGTCATCTTTCAAGATCACTAAAGTACCCAATTGAAAAGAATCATTTAGAACTCGCTTCGATTTATTGCCTAGGTACTTGTAGTTGGGATAATATTTCTCGGTTGATACTGCGGTTGAGTTTTTACTCTTTAAGTACAAGTAAATTGGGTTGCGGTATTGCTGACATCGAATCGCCAATCAGGAAATGACCAGGGGTAAGGCAGGAAAAATCATTTATTTGGCTCATCGGAAATTGGGATTAAGGGTCAAGAGTTTAAGGGTACCGTCTTTTATCAGGAACGGATCTACATAATCTACACCACATTTAAAAAAAAAAGTCTTGATGTAGCAAATCTCGCAGCGGACAAATCTCCCATTAGCTGATTCAGAGGCACAGGGTTGGTTGGTTTTGAAACATTGTACACATTTATGTATGTATGTATGTATGTATGTATGTATGTATGTATGTATGTATATGTATGTATATGTATGTATGTATGTATGTATGTATGTATGTATGTATGTATGTATGTATGTATGTATGTATGTATGTATGTATGTATGTATGTATGTATGTATGTATGTATGTATGTATGTATGTATGTATGTATGTATGTATGTATGTATGTATGTATGTATGTATGTATGTATGTATGTATGTATGTATGTATGTATGTATGTATGTATGTATGTATGTATGTATGTATGTATGTATGTATGTATGTATGTATGTATGTATGTATGTATGTATGTATGTATGTATGTATGTATGTATGTATGTATGTATGTATGTATGTATGTATGTATGTATGTATGTATGTATGTATGTATGTATGTATGTATGTATGTATGTATGTATGTATGTATGTATGTATGTATGTATGTATGTATGTATGTATGTATGTATGTATGTATGTATGTATGTATGTATGTATGTATGTATGTATGTATGTATGTATGTATGTATGTATGTATGTATGTATGTATGTATGTATGTATGTATGTATGTATGTATGTATGTATGTATGTATGTATGTATGTATGTATGTATGTATGTATGTATGTATGTATGTATGTATGTATGTATGTATGTATGTATGTATGTATGTATGTATGTATGTATGTATGTATGTATGTATGTATGTATGTATGTATGTATGTATGTATGTATGTATGTATGTATGTATGTATGTATGTATGTATGTATGTATGTATGTATGTATGTATGTATGTATGTATGTATGTATGTATGTATGTATGTATGTATGTATGTATGTATGTATGTATGTATGTATGTATGTATGTATGTATGTATGTATGTATGTATGTATGTATGTATGTATGTATGTATGTATGTATGTATGTATGTATGTATGTATGTATGTATGTATGTATGTATGTATGTATGTATGTATGTATGTATGTATGTATGTATGTATGTATGTATGTATGTATGTATGTATGTATGTATGTATGTATGTATGTATGTATGTATGTATGTATGTATGTATGTATGTATGTATGTATGTATGTATGTATGTATGTATGTATGTATGTATGTATGTGTGTATGTATGTATGTATGTATGTATGTATGTATGTGTTGGATGTGTCAGTTGCACTGCGACCGAGGTTGATCTATTGTACCCCTCCTTCTGCTGCCAAGTTCGGGTTTCCTGCTTAAAGCAGCCCTTCTAGTCCTAGGTCCTTTAGGAATTTTAGGATGTCTAGCGGTTCCAGGGCTGGAATGTCTTCCAGCTGTATAAGGGGACTTCCCAAGCTCTTCATTCTTGAGCGGCTCACGGCATCGCAGTTCAGTAGAAGATGGTGAGGTGTTTCTTCGCCGTCTTCACAGAATCTGCAAGTGTTACCTTCTTCCAACCCCAGATTATGTAGGTGCTTATTCAGTCTGCAATGTCCCGAGAGAAACCCAGTTAGAGTTTTGAGACTTTTCTTGCTAATGTTGACCAGCAGTTCAGATCTTTTTTTGTTGTAGCTACCCAGTAGATCTTTGGCCTGTCGTAGTCCTGGTTGGTCTAGCCATTGTTTGTTCCTTAGCCGGTTTTCTTCCTTTTTGAGGATTTCTTGGAGGTGCGCATTTCCGACGCCGCAGAATGGTTCTGGCCCAGTGGAGGGAGTGGCCGCTCCTGTTTTTGCAAGTTCGTCTGCGCATTCATTGCCCTCGACTCCTATGTGTCCAGGAACCCAGAGTAGGGTTACTTTGTTTTCCTTCCCTAGCTCATTGAGTTTCTGTAGACATTCCCATACTAGAGTAAAAATCAAACGAGGAGAAGCCACTGTCGTTAACGCTGACAAAGAAAGAAGATTTCCTTTTCTCTGGGTCCCTCCCATTTAAAGTGAGATGAACGATAACGCGTGTGGCTTCTTCTCGTTTGATTTCTACTCTATCTTAGAATTGATTACCGGCGAGCTCAATGCTGTGATAGCTGCTTGGCTGTCAGACATTATTACAATTTCTCGTTTTCGGTACCTTCTGTTCAGGTTGAACTGCACGCATTTTCCGATCGCATGAAGTTCGGCTTGGAATATGCTTGGTGATTTGCCCATTAGCTCCGAGTATCTGGTTCGTGGCCCGAATACTTCGGCTCCTGTCCCGAATACTCCGGCTCCTGTCCCCTCAGCAGTTTTGAAGCCGTCTGTGAACCATTTGATAATGTTTGCTTTAAGGGACTGGATACATTCTATGTTCCATCTGTTCTTTGTACTTAGTTCGATGGAAAAGTTTTTCTCGAAACTGAATTTATCGACAATCGCGTCTTTTGGTAAGTCCATGAGGTGTGCACAGTTTGGGAGAGGGAAAGCTCTGCCAAAGTGCGTTTTTCCTTGTAGACTTATCTTCGTTAGTCCTAGATATGATTCACTGGCAACCCGCTTCACTATTGTGTGAAGTGGTGTTATAGGCCAGTCAATGAGGCTGCGGAATTAACAATAATTACAAACAATGTGAAATTCAGGAATTACGTTTTGCATGACAAAAAAATCTATACATATAAAAATCAAAGTTCCAGGGGTATCCGGATATTCGCTCCTACACCACTTATCCGATTACGATGAAACTTTGGTAGGTTGTTATGGCCATCCCAAGGAAGGTTTGTAGATAGGTTACGCATCTCGGGAAAAGAAATTGATTTTGAATCAATTATTAATTTAATTGTAAACGAACTCATTCACATTACATAACAACATAACCCAACTTTTTTTGACAGCATGAAACAACGTTGCCATATTTCATTTATTTATGCTTGCATTCAACCGACGTAACTTTATTATTTTTTGAATTCGAGAACGGCTGCACCGATCTTGAATTAATACCACGTATCTCTTTATAAGCTGAATTCGATTGACCCAGATTAGATCGATTTGGGTTCAATTTAAGTGAACTTCTTCTGATCTAGATCATTTTTTTTTTTGTTGATGAGGGTGCACTGATCCAGCCTCAATTGAACACAGTGTGGTTCACTTAAATTGAACCAGATCGATTTAATCCGGTCAATCGAATCGGCTATAGAGGAGAGTGATAGGCTATTTTTTATCCCGAAAAAAAGTTCGGTTGCGCAAAACTCTGATACACTGGAACGCCTATAAACAGCCCGGGGCGCTCTAGAGCAGCTCTGGAGTGCTTAAAATGCGTCACCGAATTCACTGGCAAACGACTCTGATATCGGATTAAATAAAAATTTTAAATAGAAAATCAACAACAAAATTTGAAAAGAAGTGTATTATTTCAAAATGTATTTTCACGCTGGCAACGCAGCGGGTCATTAGCTAGTTAACTATAAAAATGTGCACCTTCCAGTGACGTGCGGAACATTGTTTTTTTTGTAAAAATTAAACAATTATCAATTACTTCTTCCCAAAAATTGCTAACAAAGTGCAAATTTATAAAAACGCGACGACTGATCTTCTAAATCTTGTATTAATTTTGCACCTTTTTTCATTAGGCGGAACACAATGAAAAATTATTTATTGTTAAAAAGTATTACATAGTTTTCGGAAAAAATGCTAGCAAGGTGCAAATTAGGATGATGCACCGTAAATGCCAAGCAAATAATTGTATAAATTTGCACCTTTCAATCTCCTCCGAAAATGAGCGATTCCCATTAATATAACATGTGAAAAAACACCATTATTCGGAGGGAAAATTGCTAACAATTCAAAAACTAGGTGCAAATGTTCAAATTGATTGCTAGAATGTTATGCAACATTTGCACCCAAAAATATTAAGTGGAAACCTTTTTTTTCTGATTTTTGTTTTTTACAAAAATTATTGAGATCGAGATGAGAACAGGGTGCAAATCACAACAGCAAATCTAAATAATATTTCAACCCTTACTGCGAGTTTGCACCCCTATATGAAGCACAGAATAAGTTTAAAATATTAAAAATAATCTGTGCCGCGGCACAGCGTAAATATTATTTGAGTGATGTTTTGGAGATATTTCTTATTCCGTGCTTCATATAGGGGTGCAAACTCGAAGTA